GTCCCTTCCTCCTTAGGCATGTTGTTTTATGGAATCTAGGGTGGGTTACTTCCTTGATGCCACGATGAGCTTAACACTACATGACAGTATGGGGTGTGTGTCACAAACACCGGTTAATACAGACAACAGACACTTTTCTCTGTCCTGAGTCACAAACTCTAATACATTATCGTCAACCTCGTTTTACGGACACTGGTTACCTGCGCGCTGCCTATGACTGAATATCTTAGCAGTGAAAACCTAACAGAAGAAGCATACGACCTTTCAAGGGTTCTGTCTAATACTCAGTCCACCTGGCCGAGTAGCAAACTAAACCCCGTCAGTACAAAAAGTAAAGTTGCGTATTCCAATCATTCCACTGCCGTGTTTCAAGAACAAGGTAATTTTCAAGGTAATTACAGAGAGAGACCATTATGGGGAATGTTCGGGAGTTTTCTTCAGGATGACCTTGTTAATGTTACAGTTGAGAAATTAGACAACGTCCTCTTTAAAACGTGTGCTTTAGTCTTTATATCGATAAACATGTGTTTTGACGTTTTTTTTTCCTGACTACCCGCTTAATACGGACACCCGGATAATATGTACACTGTGGCATGTCCTTTTCGTGTCCGTATTAATCCGGGTTCCACTGTTTCTGTTTTTAAGTACACTGTACATGGCTTTTTTCTTAAATGTAGGTAAGAGATTTCTCTTTGTTGCAGATTTATCAGAGCAGAGCTCTGCCGGCAGATCGAAGGAACAGTTACCAAGTCCCTCAGGTACCAATTTATAGCCCCTGTCCATACGAATCCAGATGTGTCATGAAAGATATTAATCATCGTGGATAATGTGTATAAAGGGTTTAGTTTTATCGTGTGTCTCACGATTGTCACTTTGATATTGATCACGACGTTTCGACCGCACACTGCAGGTCTTCATCAGGCGATAGTGTCGATTTACTGAGTCGGACTATTTGTACCACCTTGATGACTTGATTGTTAGTGATTGGTGTATCACAAACCTCGGTCATGGTTGGTAGGTTTCGATCCAAAGCATTGTTGTCATTGTTGGTATTGTGAGAGGAAGAAACTGATCCCTCAGCGGTCCGCTGGGGTAGAAACCCCATGTTTGAAACCGCATTTTTTTACGAAGGGTGTAATTTGCAGGTTGCAGGTTGCAGGTCAGTATTTGAAGTACGCGCGAACGGTCAACGCTAAACTGATTTTGTAAAAAAAAAAAAGCTGTCTTTACAGCATCACGCAAACCGGAAATATCTATAGTCCCAGGAAATTGTTTTTTGGGAGTTAGATTTTGCAGCCGGAGCCCTATAGATCGAAATTTCTCAGCTTCACACTTTTAAAAATAACAACGAATGGTAAAAAAAAACCGGATGTGGAAATTTCCACGGGCCGGTTAACCACGGCGTTAGAATTTGATACACAAGGTCGCGCCGGAAGTGTCACGCTTATAATACTTCCAAAACAGTACACTTTCAAAGGAACAAAATAAAAAGAACGTACCTAGAGAGAGCAACGCACACATTGAGGGCTGGTCGGATGTGATTCATTTTTGCAAGATCGGCAATAACATCAATATTTTGTACTACTTAATTCAATTTTACCACTTAACGGCTGTTGAAATTCTCCACTACTAGCCTGCGTGGCAGGCCTTCGAAAGGGAAGGGGAAGGGAATTAAGGCGCGCGCCCAAATTTCCCCTTCCCCTTCCCCTTCCCCTTTTAACGCCTGCCACGCAGGCTACTCCACTACACTCTCCATGTGCTCGACCACGGCGTAGATTCCAACGAGGGGGTGAGGCACTCCCTTATTTGGCCTATATGGGTATGTGCCGCTGAACAGGGTATGGTTTTCAAGGTCTTGAGTCTTAAACAGGGTATACAAATTCGCAATTTAGTGTCTTGAACAGGGTGTCTTATTAGACCCGAACCCTTAAACAGGGTGTGAATGTTGGCGGTGTCCGGTCTGCGTCACGCTGTAAAGACAGTTTTTTTTGCTCAAAATCACTTCAGCGTTGACCGTTCGCGCGTGCCTCAAATTCTGACCTGCAACCTGCAAATTACGCCCTCCGATTTTTTTATACCAATAGGACGCGGATGAATCAGCGGATTCACTGGTTAAGTGTTGACAAAAGGCCCCCCAAAATATACGGTTTCATGATTATCCGAATTCGAGTGGGCAGGGCCTTGCCTCTGTTAAGTTGACTTGTCTAATTAGCTGATCTTTCCCTTAACTTATTTGTAAAACGAATAATGCCCGGTCCAGACGCCGAACATTTCATTAGCCGAACCTAATACACAGAATTAAGTACATGAAAAGTTCGGCGTCTCTATTTCAATTTGGAACAGCTCAGCCGTTCTTTTCTCTTAGCACATCCGGAAATTTCGCCTTTGGAGCGACTTTGGAACGGCTTTGATTCAAACGCCGAACTTTTCATGTAATGAATCTAATGCATAAACTATTATAACGTTCCGTATTTCCTCGAATAATAGCCGGGGGGATTATTTCTTTTTTCACACCAAAGGGGGGCGATTATTCGAGGGAAGCGATTATTTCAAATATTCCTCACTGGAAGTTGTGCCCTAAATATTTTGTGTTATTATCCCATTAAATAAACAAAGTATCACATCAAATAAACAGAACATGGGCTTTTAAAATGTTCCAAATTTGGTTCCTTGATTAATGTTCAGAACTTTAATCATCACTGATCAGTTTTGCTGGATCAGATTCCACTTCAACTTGACTTGGGGGGGATAAAAGGAAGAAAAGAGGGTCAGAGGCTTGGGGGGATTATTCGGGGAAGGCGATTAATCGAGGGGGGACTATTATTGGAAGAAATACGGTATTTTGTAAGCAGTTTGACCGAAATTAGCATTTTCGCCTTTTAAACCTCGTTTAGCTGCAATTGAGATCGGCGCGTGAATCAGTTCAGCCGCTCTAAATAATTTGGGTCGGCCTTAAAGGAACAGTATCCCGTTACTGCGCATGCACCAAACTTTAATTTTTTGACAGGATGTCGCGAAATCAAAAGATGCGAGGAGAGTAAGAGAGTCTTGAAAAATCCGTTTGCATCGCGCTTGGCCGGGTTCAATACGACACTAAAACTTCTCAGGATTATAGATCAATGATAGGTTCGGCGTCTGAACGGGGCCTAAGGTCCTCTCCAGGCACCCTTATAGATTCTGAACAACAGATTTACGTAACAAAACAACAACAACAACAACAATGTAGCTTTTACAGTCAGATGCAACGTCAATGAACGTGTCAAAAGTATCATTTATGATTTTTAATACTAATTTGGAATGGGAGGCCAGCACATGCAATATAAAATAGCCTGTTCACAGACCCTCTATTTTCTCTTAAAGTAATTCCCTTGAAAATGATGTATTATCCAGATTTTTTTAGCCTGCGAACGGGAGACGTTTCTCCTCGCTCATCGCCGCTGAGGACCGTTTCCACAGGGTCCAGAGGAGATGTGTTTGTCGTTAGAACATCAAAACCCGTCGAAAACCTCTGAAAAAATGGGTTATCTTGATCGCGTTACAGTTTCGTTACACATTCTATAGACCGCAAACCACGAGACTGAGGGCTCGCAAGATCGGCTTACACTATAAAATACGAAAATCTCGGCTTTGGGTTTGCACTACGAGACACAGGGTACAGAGGAGATGTGTTTGTCGTTAGAAATTCAAAACCCGTCGAAACCCTCTGAAAAAATGGGTTATTTTGATCGCGTTATAGTTTCGTCACACACATTCTATAGACCGCAAACCAAGAGACTGAGGGCTCTCAAGATCGGTTTTTTTTTACTCGGCACTTCGGGCGTCGTGCCGTGCGCCAGCGAGGATATGACTTGCAGTTATTGATTTTCAAAATGGCGAACAACAAAGTCGATCTGGGTCAGATAAGAAGCGAAGAAATCGTTTACAGAGGATTCATAAAGATCCCATTGGGCTAATTAATCGTGCTAAGCGACAGATATAGACATTTTTGAAGGTGAGACTTTTAATAAGTAATTCATTTATTCACAAGAAACTCCTCTGGACCCTGTGCCGTTTCGCGAGGAGGAACGTCTGCGACTCAGCGACAGAAATTCCATACTGATGACGCAAAATCTTCCCGGAATCCGGTCAGAAGCGCTAATTGGTCGACGGAGTAGTTTCATCGTTCTAGCTATTGTTTGCGAATGACAGACAAAAGACAAAAGGCGGCAAAGGTCAAATGTAAACGCGATGAATCTCTAACAAAACAGTCCATATTTGTGGAATATAGTCTCCTCTAGAAAAAGCATTTGAGTTTTGCTGGAGCTCATTCGCAGATGAACACAACACTTTTCCAAAATCTACCAGGAGAAACGTAACATTGAACAAATTTGCATTTGGAACCCCATGACTACCGGATTTATTAAGTAAACATCGATTTACGTCATCAGTATGGAATATCTGTCGCTGAGTCGCAGACGTTCCTCCTCGCGAAAAGTCCCTGAGCGGCGATGAGCGATGAGAAACGTCTGCCGTTCACAGGCTAAGATTTTTTCAAACTTGACTCAAATGTCAGTCATATATAGGGCATTCAAAAACTGCAATAAAAAGATGGGGTGACCGTGCTTGTTTCGGTCTGTGTACCTGTTATCCTGTTTTTTTCCTACTTTCGCGGAAATATCGCAAAAACTGTGAATCTCACTAAAAACTTAAGCCAGTTTGTTTGTCTTGGGTATATTTCTCTAGAAGTGAAGTGACCTCAAACAACCCGATCTTGAAAAAAAGGAAGGAAAAAAAAAGGAAATGGACAATTTTAACAACCAGAGAATTACCTTAAGAGATCGTCTAGCACGGGTATGGAAGTAATTTATTGCCCGAAAGCGCAAGGAGGTAGGCAGACTTTTCGGTAGCGTTTGGAAGTTTTGGATGCAGAGGTTCAGCTGGCGGACTTGCCCCGTTCGTACCGCAGGCGCCGAGATTGAGTGCCGGAGGCACGATCTTTAAGTGGGATCCGAAGACATTTTCGGCCCCACGAAACTTTTAAAATTGGACTCTCTAAATTTAATTTCCTTCTTTCCCTGGACCGGAAGTGGTTAATCGGTAAAAGATAAGAAAATAAAGATTTTTACAGTTAAAAAAATTATTTCGTGTGATAATTACCGGACGTCCGAGTCCGGCGTCTGGCCTGAAACGAAACCCATGGGTACGGGTCGGAAAAAGAAAAAATAGACTTCTTTTCACTTCCTTTTTGTTCTCGCGCTTCAGCTTTGCGCTCTCTCTCACGCGCTGTCAAATGGTCGAATAAAAAGCAAAGAAAAACTTTCGCCGAAACAAACAGACAAACGTTTGTAAACAGGCTGAATGTGAAATAATTGCAGTATAAAACTTTTGAAATATGTATACCCAAAATTGTTCAACCAATCGGTCCTCGCAACCGAAGGTTGTTTAGAAAACCGCTGATGTGAAACTTGGTAATCGTAAGCTTAATGCATCCAAAATCCGCACCGGTCTTGCTCCAGTGTTAACATGAGATCAGGTTTTATTTTTATTCCTTAAGAGAGAATATCCACGCTTTGATGTAAATGACAGTAATAGATAAACTACCATTATCATTGCTACCACAAAACTTGTGCAATTAACTTCCTACTGCTCAATGCGTTAGAGAGGGTTTAAGTTTTAAGAGATTTACTTTCTTTATAAACAGATGCTGTAACTAATTTTTTGGAGTGGAGTCAAAATCAGCTTTGCTCATTTTACAACAGTACCGCGAGCCAGTTAATGATTACCCCTTGGGACCGAGATAATACCATGGACATTGATGAGGTGTATGTACAGTTAACACTGCTGAGAGATGACAGAAAACTTGCTGGAACAACACAAGAAGAGCTTCAAGATTACAGTGAGCTATTCGCAAGCCATGGTCATCATCTAATTCCTAAGAGAATTTTAGTGTATGGGAGGCCAGGAATAGGAAAGTCGACATTCACAAAGAAACTCGCCGTTGACTGGTCACGAGGTAATAAAGAAATCCTAAAGAAGTTTGCTGTTGTACTTTTAATCAAGCTCCGAGATGTTTGCAACACGAAAGACTTCTGTGCCATGCTGCAAAAGGCGGAGCTGTTGTCCGCAGGTGACCCTATGGTGTTTAGCCAATTGTATGATTACATTCTTCACAACCAACAGAAAGTCCTACTTATTTTAGACGGCTATGATGAATACAGCGCCGAAAAATCATCGCTAGTCCATCAGATTTGGAAGGGCGGTCATTTGAGAGACTGCACTCTTCTTGTGACGACCCGACCTCGGAAAAAAGATGAGTTAAGACCAGGAAGTCATGCTCAGTTTGAAATTGATGGGTTTGATGATTGGCAAGTTAAAACATTTGCTCTTAAGTTTCTTCGTGACCAAACAAAAGTATTAAAGTTCACAGATTTCTTGGATGAACGCGACCTGTGGGACTTGGCAGAAATACCTCTTCTGCTGTTAATGTTGGTTCTAAGCTGGGAGGTTTCTGATTATCAAGGACCATCTACATCCCGCGCAAATCTGTATAACAGTTTTTGTCAGACGCTGCTCGATCACGTGACCGCAAAAACCTCAGATGAGACATTTAGAAGCGTGGATGAATACAGAGAAGAACTGGCAAAGTTAGGGGAACTTGCCTGGCAGGCACTTTTAAATGACTGTCTTTATTTCAAGCTCAGCAATGTGCCTAAGGACATTCGGTTATTCCTTGACAAGTTTATCGATTTTGGCTTTCTGCAGACTTCTAATCTTTCAAACTCTCCTCGTCCTGAGAAACTGGCGTTCTTTCTCCATAAATCGGTGCAAGAGTTCCTTGCCGCCTCGTTTTTAGTTCGTGGTTTAAAAAATGCCAAGGAATTTTTCAACTGTCTGTCTAAAGTCGACTCATTTGAACGGTTCAAGGAACTATCTGAAGTTTTTACTTCGGCGGAGCGCGAAGTAAAGGTTTCGCGACGCTCAGGAATGTATCAAAGTTACAATTTTTTGACAAGATTGGGCATGCAAAGTCTGTAGGTTTTCGGTTTTATTCGGCTATTTGACGAAGTGAGAGCCGAATTAATTCGAGATATCTCGAGATCACTTCGATTTCTTTGATTCATTCTTTATCTTTTTCGAGGAAGAAAGAATTATTATTTTGGCTTTCTCGGGGTTTGAACCGACTCACCTGTGTGACCCGTCAGATCAGAGGAGACTCTAAGTTGAGGGATTAGCCGATTGCGCTACTGCGACCCAAGGTAGTTTGGAACGTGAAAAATAGTTATGAAATGATGCACTCGTTTCGGGACAAGATTGGGCGTGCAAGTTCTTGACTTTTCGGCTTGTTTCAACTATTTCACGAAATGAGACCGGACTACTTCGTGATATCTTGAGATCACTTCGAGTTTAGTCTTTAATTACTCGAGGAATAAATAGAGCATATTTCGTGGCCGCGCAGAGGCACGAAAGTTCTCTTCGAGTGTTGAAAAACATTTCACGAGTGAGCCCTCCTTTCGAACTGTTTTATGATGAATTTAAAGTTACAAAATGCTGCAAAAAGACATTCACGTAGTAAAATTGCTTTCATGCGTTGTGTGACTTTCTCGAACGTTCTCTACGTTTTTGGAGTACCATGAATAATTAATTAGGGTATGTTTACATTTCAGCATGAGTCAGCAGATTTGCATCAGTTACTGAAATCATAAAATACCGTATGTCGAAAAGCTACTACTATTCGCCTGCTGTTTAGTATTTTCTACAACCTTATGTCAAACGGTATACAAGTTCCAAGCGAGTTCTTTTGACGAACTAAGTTTTTTCCCACGAGCTGGACTGCTGTGTTTAGTCAAGTGTGACGAAGGTCGATTTTCAGGTATTGTGTTTACAAGTTCGCGGAAGTCGTAAGATATCTGAAGTTCAAGTAAGAGTTTGTTATTATTGGTAGAGGCTGTTTAGTTTTACTCAAAGTTCAAGTCAAGTTTGTGTTGGTGGATGCTGTGTTTTAAAGCTCTGTGAAGGCTATGTTTCTTTGGTGTTAAACTTCCTTGTGTTAATCCGACATCCCTGCGTGCTGATAGTCAGTGAATAATTATCCTCAAAACATTCGAACTCGTGACTTTGAGTTTTAGCCAATTCCATGCTCAACGTAATTGACTCCTTACCCATGCCTTACATATCTTTAATCAGTACATGAGACTGTTATACTGTTTTTCAAGCCTGATGTAACTAAGAAAAATAGAGAATTGTTTTTTTTTAGAAGGATTTGTATGGAGTCATTAGAGCATAACTGGGCTAACATCTCGGAGACAATTTGTCCCGAAATGCTAGTTTTTGGCAAGTAGGCCTCTTGGATGTTGCTCTTTTCAGAATATCCAGACAAATCCCATAATTTCACAAATTAACACCTTACTCTTACCATATTTGATTTCTTACTATTCCTCCGCATTTACAATTAATTAGTTCCACAACCACGACGTCGAAGTGTACGCTCCGTAGCGTCTTGTCAAATTTGTTTCGGAGTTGTCGTCAGAAGCTACCGTTGCTGTTTTTAGCCATCTGAAGATGATAGGAGAAAAAGAAGGTCTAACTGATTACAACTTCTGTGAAAACCCCTCTATTGAGGAGCTCCCTAAAGAACAAAGAGAGTTTTATCGTATTAGTCTCGATCTTTTCCTTTCTTGCCCTGCTTCAGATAGAAAAAATGTCTTTCCTTCATTTTTGCAATGCGTTAATGGTCTTTTATTGATATGGGACACAGAACTGCCTGAAGTTTCCAGCGAACATTGGCTGAGATCAACAAATTTCCATAAGCCAGATTATGTATTTTTTAGAAAGAGTTATACACGTATACCCCCAGAAAGGGATGATCAAATGTTGTCTGTCATGTCCGATTTGGACACTGTTTTTGTTACATGTTATGGTGACGTAGAATCCGCCAATAGGTACCACGATCTAGTGCTTAAGAGCTTTTTCATTAAGAAAGTCGGACATCGATTTGTGTGCTATTTAACTCGCCTTGAATACCACCTACCCACTGGACTGCTTACATCATTAATATCAGCACCAGAGTCCTCTCTTCAAGAGCCTGCTCACAAGTTACAGAATCATGATGTTTGCAACTCTTTGCAGTTAACTGAGAAAACATCTGACCAGACTCTGACACACTCTCTGTCATATTTGAGAACGATTAAAATTGAGGTTGGAATTGAGGGCCTAACAAGTGAACTTGGTGAACTTGTCATTTTACTGAATAATCTTCACCATGTACCTCGACTATCTGAGCTTGATTTAGGTGTTGTTGGTATAGGGAATCAAGAGTGCCAAATACCTGCCACTGCTTTAAAGTATGGTGATAAGTTACGATTACTGCGGTTACCAAGTAACCCATTCGGTCACGGGATAAGTGAGCTTGCCAAACACCTGCACAGTGTACCTCATCTGAAAAAGCTGCGCCTTAATTATACACAGATGGGTGAAGAGGAAGTCACAGCTTTAGCTCTTAGTTTAAAGAATGTGACTCAGCTGAGTGCACTTGACTTATCAAACAACCCACTCGGTCACGGAGTAAGCGAGCTTGCCAAACATCTGCACAGTGTACCTCATCTGGAAGAGCTGTGCCTGAGTTATACACAGATGGGTGAAGAGGAAGTTACAGCTTTAGCCCTTAGTTTAAAGAATGTGACTCAGCTGAAAAGACTTTTCTTATCAAGCAACCCACTTGGTCACGGAGTAAGTGAGCTTGCCAAACACCTGCACAGTGTACCTCATCTGAAAGCGCTGGACCTGGCTGATACACAGATCGGTGAAGAGAAAGTCACAGCTTTAGCCCTTATTTTTAAGAATGTGACTCAGCTAGGTGCACTTGACTTATCAAACAACCCACTCGGTCATGGCGTATGTGAGCTTGCCAAACATCTGCACAATGCACCTCATCTGGAAACACTGCACCTGAATGATACACAGATGGGTGAAGAGGAAGTTACAGCTTTAGCCCATGTACTCATCTACGTACCAAATGAGATGGAGCTTTGGCTTAGCAAAAATCCACTGGGCCGCGGAGTGACTGAACTAATCAAGTGTCTCAGAAGTAGTCTTCGGCTTCGTGGGCTCCACATCAGTCAAGTTCAAATGACAGAGAAAGAAGCCGCTGAGCTGCTTACCTTATTAAAAGAAAGGCGCATGAACTTTTCCTTTTGACATGTAAGTTTCTCTTTTGTTATTTGCTTTATTAATGCTCGTAATACCCAGGAACTTGCTGGTAGACGAAAAGGAATCGTTCTTCAAAGGGGCTGTGTCGCCATTCTTATCCGTGCTAAATAAAAGACCCGTTATTGTAAAAGAAAACTTGTCGAATAATTGGTAGTTTAAAAGAAGGGATAAATTCGGATTGACAAGACACAAGGATATTCCCCACTACACCGAATGCAAAAATTGCCATCAACAAGAGTCGAAAAACTACACAACATTTTGTCCACACGCCTTCAGAGCTAAAGGTGATGGCATGTGTCACGTGTACCCTGTGGAAGATTGCGTGAAGGGGCTCAAGGGTAATTTATTCAAATTACCAAACTCGTAACATGACACCAAGTTACTGGTCTCTTTTAGGAATCAACTTTCGGCCGCAACCTTTTTACAAATCAGCGGAATATTGAACTTTCAGTTATTTGCTAGTTTTTAAGTCATGTTTTGAAGGTGAGATGCAAAGCTCAGAGCCTTGCATCACGAGAAAAAAAATGGACACTGGAAGGTAACTTTGTTAAATCCAGGAACTTGCGTTTTAAAACAAAAAAACTCCTGTTGTAGAAGTGTCATTTGTAATCATGATTGAGACTTCTTGTTATGTTCATTTTTACTAAAGTAAATTTATCATGTGACCTAGTTTGTCGATAGTTTATTGGAGCATTTCGAAAACAGTTCTTGAAGCCTTTTGGACTTGACCAGCCTGAAGCATTTTAACTTCCGAGTTCAGAATTAAATGGTCACCCGACGCGAATCTCAGTTGCTCGTTTTTCAGGATTTTTTTTTCTTTTTATATATTTATTCGACGGACAATTTCGCCTCTGTAGCTTTTCAGATAGCAATACCTATTCAGATGCCGAAATTTCCATCATTTCTTTTACGTTTTGGTGGACTAGAAATAACTTTGGTGTGATTTTCTCCTTTGATTACACGCTTTCCGCTAGTTTACATTTCACTTTCTTGTCGCTTACGGTGGCCCGAGTCGCTATATTCAAAATTATATTTTTCGCAAACGTTTAAATTCTCAGAGCTGAAATTTCAGATCTAGTTAAAAAAAAATCACAGCTCTTTCATGCAGTATAATCATATTTTAAATTTGAGTCATACCAGAATCGACTTTTTGCAGTTAAAGTTGGGGTTATTTCGACCGTCAAACAGCACACAATCAAGGTGCAAGCAACAAAAGCCCAAAACTATATGACAAAATTTAATTTGCGAGACATTTTTATGCAGTCTTATAGCTTTGGGTTACTGGTAAATGCATGTGCAACGTCAAGTCAAAAGGAGCTTTTGCCCGCTTGTACTGCTTCTTTGAAAACTGTTGAAATTTGCAGCAATTTCGCGAATTAAGAAAATTGATTTTTATCGAATTTTCGAACTTTCCCAAATTTCTCAAAATGTAAAGCGCTTGAGGATTTCGCGATATCATTCCTTGAAATAGTTCACCTAAAGGGTTGTTTGGGTGGTATTAGCCAAAATTCAAATTTTTAGCACTGAGTTGAGATTCGATATTTTGCGACATTGGCTCTTAAGTTTCAACGAATGTACGCTGTACTGTACAGTTTTTAAACCAACAATTGGCATGTTCCATAAAAATCAGTAGAGCGCTTTTTACTGTAGAGCGGGAGGTCGCTGGTTTGATTACCGTGACTTTACTAATACTTAAAACAACTAAGCAGTGAAGGTACTGCCTTTCTCCTGCGTTGCTCCAATAACGTAGAACTGTCGGTTCCGTCTCCAGTAGGAGACATAAAAATTGTGTCCTCAGTTAGTACAGTGGAACCTCGACATAACGAAGGGCCAAGGGACTGGCAAAATTTGTTCGCCAGGACGAGGTTTCGTTATATCGAGGTTCTTTTTCATCTATTTTGCTGTTTCTGGGATAAAGAAAATCGTTCGTCATACGGAGGACTTCGTTATATAGAGGTTCGTTATATCGAGGTTCCACTGTACTTCCATGCAAAGTACATTCACACTTTAATTGAAGTAGGGTAATGAAATAAGGCGGACTGGCGAAGCTTTCGATTCTTTCATCGCATTCGCTACTTTGCACAAAAAGCCTCTCTACTTTTTTTGACCCTTAGCAGCCTCTCAATTCTTCCGCGGGGTGCGAGAAGATCAGGACAAAACGTAACCTGCGATCAGGCGATCCTTCTTCCCTTTTGTTTTGGAGGCGAAAGGAAAAGGAATTTCCCCCAAAAAGAAAACGCCTGATCGCAGGTTAGACTAAACAAGGAATTTCACTGTTTACGTAGTTTCCTCTCTAGGAGGACGATTACACGTCTGCGTTTCGTTAAAGTAATGACTTTTTTAATCACGCTGAAGTTAGCAGGAAGTTGGAGACACCACTGTTTTCGCTAAACAATCATGGATACCATTTTCACGATCACTAACGAACTAACTTTACGTTATTTTTAATCCGTTGCCGTTTGTCTTTTTCGTTAGACCGGGTATGACCCAACTCGCCTACTTACAGAGGCAGAACTACAAGAAGAGGGAGTCACATTTGATGAAGAGTGAAAAAGGGAACCCTGCTCACCACACCAAAAGCGCGAGGAGACCTGGACACTAAACGAACCACTACCACCTGTGCGACAATCACTTAGGTATTCTCGTATTTAAAAGATCCCTTTGATATCCCTCTAATTTAAGTAGCCTGGTATTTCGGATACCCCCTAATATCCCCGTATTTTGGTGTCACCCTAATCTAAGTGTCTCGCATTTTGGTTGTTTCTCTGAATTAAGTATCCCCATATTTTGAACCTCTGCGCTCTGGCTCAAGTCCCTGGTGATGTTGGTGAAAACAGCGATCCTACCTTGGTCGTTTTACAACCACTAAAACCGGCTCTACAACTTGACTTCTTTATAATGTTCTTGTTATTTCAGTTCGTTGCGATGTCCTTAAAAATACTGGAATTGAATTGTAGTTTTTATTTCACAACGGTCGACCACCAACTCACTAATAGATCACGCTTACAAGACAAAGTGAGACTGGAAGCCGTGTTTTAAAAGGAACTGGCTACTGCGATTGCCGGTGATCACACATACAAAAACCACCAGCCTTCAAAACTTGACTCTTATACATGCAACATTTTCCGTGTGCATGCAGTGTCTTTTTGTGTACAAAGTGATTACATAAGGCAACCTTTAAACAATCACACGAGGCCATTTTATTTGCTGGAATTCCTGTCCGAGGTACAAAATACTGCGTGTAGCTTGAGCGGCAGGCATGATCCATGCCGGCTCGGTGTTGGCACGGATCACTCTTGCTACCCAGGGTACGCTGCGAAAATTGGTGCCTTCGAAACATTGACCCAAATCCCAAGGGATATTAGTATCCCGTTAGGGATACCCGTAACTCTGACCTGAGAGACATCACGAGGATTTGTATACGGAGGTACCCAAAACACAGGGATACCCAAATTATGTTGGAGTTTTGTATTTCTTAGCGTACACACTGCATGCCATGCGTAACTATCATGGGTAAGACCAGGAGTCCACCAACCTCAAGAGTCCACCACTCATTTGAGGCCTGGGTCACAGCGTGTTAGATGTTCAGGGTTTTTCATCCAATGATCATGAGAGCAGAGTTGAATTTCTAGCAATGGCGCATGAGATCAAGGTTTTTCAGACGAAGAGGATTTAGTGTGTTCCTTTGTTTGAAGAAACGTTTAAGTAAGGACCAATGAGGCTTCGTCATCAACTTCCGTCCTAGATCGTGCAATCGGTTTTGAACAAAGTGAACTCGGGGAAAAGAAATCTTAAAAGAAGCGAAACTCCTAAAACGCACTCTGACGTTTACTGAATCTCAACCGGCCGGGAGGGGGGGGGGGTTGAGGGGTGGTGACTTCATATAATAGGGACAGGAATGCTCGTCGGAAAAATAGAATTGACGCGCTTAAGAGGACTGTACTTCAACAAAGTATGGTGGTATTTGGCTTTTTATTTATAAATTTCATTACGCATAGCCCCAAGAGAATGAACCCATATTGCCTTAACTGATATCTGTATGGAAAAATATTGGCTTTTCGTCCTGGCCACCCTAAGTGAGATCAAAATTCGCAATTCCTACCCCTTAGCGAAACGACGAGCATCCCCGTTCCTTTTATGTGGGGTCACTCCACATAAAAACCTGGGAACGCTGCAAAACAAACGGGCTCCTGGTTAGTAAATCACCTAAAAAGTGCTTAGATATATTTTCTTACATAACTTTCTACACTAAAAACGTGCTCGACTGAACTTAAGAAAAGTTAATTTTGCTGTTTCCGATATTGTGGTTCAAAACTCGATTATATATAGTTTTTCGACTCGTGCTGGCTATGCCGTAAAGTGTTTGCAGCAACAACATACGATTTGATGGAAAACGCGCGACGCGACGAAAACGACGTCCTCAGGGTACCCATAGTGAGTCTTACCCTTGTATTACCTGGTGTAATTGACTGTTCATTAGCAGTGACTAATAACAGTCCAGTGTGACGTCCCCAGGGTACCCATGGTGAGTCTTACCCTTGTATCACCTGGTGCAGTTGACTGTTCATTAGCAGTGACTAATAACAGTCCAGTGTGACGTCCCCAGGGTACCCATGGTGAGGCTTACCCTTGTATTACCTGGTGTAATTGACTGTTCATTAGCAGTGACTAATAACAGTCCAGTGTGACGTCCCCAGGGTACCCATGGTGAGGCTTACCCTTGTATTACCTGGTGTAATTGACTGTTCATTAGCAGTGACTAATAACAGTCCAGTGTGTTTGGTGATATTACTCCGTTCTTCCCTTTTGTAAGCCGTTTCACTTAGGCAAGATACAGGCTTCCAAGTGCAGAACAGTTTTTTACATTTTATACAGAAATTTTAATTACTTCAACTCGCAAACAAATCGGTATTGTACAATATGACGAACATCAGCACAATCTTATGAACTGTTCATTAGTAATGACTAATAACAGTTCAGTATATTTG